AAATTTCATACCATTTAAATTTTTGACATTCTACACAAAATTATTGAACATGCTTGAGAAATAATTTGATTCTCTTAATTCGTTTGCGTGTTCTGAATAGTTGCCATCCTTTGCATGTCTATGGCTTGCTGCTTATGTTTAGAAGAATTGTAGTTTGTTGTACTTAGAAACTTCTTTTGGTTTTACATAATAAGAACTTGGCATATATATGCTATTTAAAATAATCGCTGTATTGACTGTGTATGTATTCTAATTAGCAGCCAACAATCAACACCATCTTTGGTCAAAGAAATTACTTAACCTAATGAAATTTAACAGGATGCATTTTTATTTTCTTTTTCTTTGCCTAAATTTAGTTTAGCTGTTCACGGTACAGGATATTATGGAAAAGAAGGCTTCTTGAAATTATATTTAATTTGATACTGAAAAATATTATTTTAACTATAAAATATAATTCAGAACATCCAGTAAAACACACACACACACACACACACACACACACACACACACACACACATACACACACCTACACACCTTTTCTCTCTCTCAGTTATAAAACCCTCTAATAATAATTCATGCTTTTAAAAATATTTATATTCAAATACCTTAACAATACTTTTCTATAGTCTACTTATCATTGGTACCCTGTATAGAAATTTCAAAGTAAAAGTAGTTGTAAATTGGTTTGTTATTTAGAAAAATTACAAAATCCTTCTACCTGGAAAAATGATACTAATTCCAGGATGTCTGTAAGTTTATAAAATAATTTTTGTTCCCTTGGCAGACAACATACTTCCTGGTAAAAGGAAGAGAGCTTTTCAAGATGGTAAAGCTATTTGAATTGAATACTTCTTTGATCCTAAACCATTCTAAATTTTTGCAGCTAGATATTGAACCTGAGATGATCAAGTTAAAGACTCCTTTGAATATGATTCATGTTACCCTAAGTAATATTCATTTGTATCCATCTTTTGGGGCATTGGGAGGGAAGTGTGGGTATAACAAAAACTGCATTCTTCAGGTAGGTATAAGTGTAGAGGTCAAACTTTTAGTTATACATCAAAAACAACTAACCCCTATTAAATGAGAAATATTGAATTCCCAGCCCTATTCAATCTTTAATTGGGTATGGAGTGTTTTATCCATATCGACCTTATCATTGCCTATGTGAACCATATCTATTATTAATACTACTTTACTGATTTTTTTTCTATTATTTCCAATTCTGACTTGATAATCCATGGCTTTTATTTCATTGCTTAACAATGTTTGTATCCTTTATTCAGCAAATAGTTTACACTGGCCTATTTTGTATCAGTCAAGATTTTTCTCAGGTAACAGCTTTATTATTATTTTTTAATTAACAAAAGAGGTAGGCTTACATAAGAGAAAAAAAACTAAAGTTACAAAAAGGGACTTTAAAATTAGTGTTTCTAATTACACGAACATTGTCTCTTATATATGTAATCTAAGCAAAGTGGAAGATTTGTTTTTGTTAATTGTCTGCTTTTGTGCAAGATGATGTATGCCACTGAACTGAGATGTGTTTGTTGGCTTTACTTAATTATGTAGCCTGAATAAAAATTGATGAAATCTAGTGGTATATAAATTAAACCAAACCTTAAAAATGTGAAGACTGTTGATGTGGCTATTGGAGAAAAATGATATATATTCATTTTTATTTTATTTTTAAGCATATTTTCTTTCAAAATTACTTCATAAAATTATAAATTTTCCTACTAAGATGAAAGCCAAATATTGTACACTAATGGTACTAGGAATTTTAAAATTTATTTATATATATATATACTATCTTGAACATTTATGCTATTCTTTACATTTGTATTTTGTAAACTAAACATACGTTGTTGAATCTACTTGACATGAAAAAATATTTTTAATTGTTATATTTTTACTAATGCATCAAAGGTTAG